AGTTAGACATTGACACCGTTGGATGCCGGCCCAGTTATCTAGTGGTTAAGCGCTTGTGAGCGAGAATGGTGGATCTCGGATTCGAATCTCGGGAGCCGGGATCGTGGATGCGCACTACTGAGGAGTCCCAAAATAGGACAAAACGGCCATCCAGTGCCTCCAGGTTTTCCATAGTGGTCTAGCTTCAGTTGACTCGTGATCTCAACCACTGAAATTATTATGATATCTACAATAGTCCTTCTGATACAAATTTAAAATATTCTTTTAATCAGACATTGCGATTTACATAAACATCGTTTAATTATGTTGTTATAGACATCTTTAGGTTCGCACACATTTTAAAATTAGTCATATTCATCATTATTTCAGTTCATTTAACTATTTCAGAATGTCAATAAGCAATTTCACGAATAATGAGTTGTTCCATGAGAAATAGGTTATCATTCTATAGACATATATCATATATTGCCTCTGTCGATCAAATGGTGTATTCGTAAGTTGTTTTATGAAGACTTATAGCTTACAAATAATGATCAAGATTAATTATTTATAGTAAACCGATAGCAAATTTATTAAATAATCACTAAATACTAGTCAACATTAACAATGATCATAATAGAAATGTTCGATATTCAGTGTATAATCCTATACAAATCTAGATAGATTCTTGTGTATCCTAAAATGGAAATTAAACCAAATCAAATCAAGTTAGTTGCATGCTTAACATTTAGATTTTCATGAAATCAATGATTAATATGCAGTAGATTACATAAAACTCATCACATATTTTCAAATTAATGCTATAGGAATTGGAAATATACTCTTGATCACATTTTAGGTTTAGTAACTACATATTTGTTGACACTGAACGTCAGAATCCAATGCTGAAGTTCAACAGTTTTCTTCCAGCCTAGTCATATGGAATTAAAATGGATATGTTATTTAAAAACATTATGAGTTACGAATCATATTAAATTGGATATTGAGTAGCGTATAGTCAATAAAACTAGCTTATTTCAAAGTTATTTCGTATCTGTTTGTTTGGAAACAAAGTATAATAATCAGTAGGGTTCAAAAACAATGGATGAATGAGGGTTTGGTGGATTTTAGACAAAACTGAAGGTTTATTGACTACGAGCTAGTTATTCATAAGTAATTATATCTATTAAAACTTCGAATGATGTCCGAGAATAACATTCATGGTCAAAACTTATTGGTATCTATCTTTTTACTTCAATAAATTTGGTTAATTTGGTGCTACAAGATAGTTCATAAAGTAATTTGAAGAAGAAGATTAGATTTAGTTTGAGTCTTATCTTCAATAAAGTGTTGAATTCAATTCTAGTACATCTGAACTTATAATTTAAGCTACAATCAATCGCTTGAATGATTAATATGAATAATCTGTGGAAAGATTCCAGCCTTTATTTATCTTTTATGAAAACATCGCTAAGAATGAGGGAGAAGGATTTTAGGAGTGGTCGAACATATAATTTGTGCATAAAAATATGTGATTGGCTGTTTTAGAGGTTATGAAATATGCAACCCAGAAGTCATTAAGACTTGGATACCTGTTTCAAAAGCTGTTTTGAGGAGAACGAATCGTACCTGAGTTCTAGTCCACTACTACATGCAACTTACTATTTATGGTAAGATCTAGGTTGAGTGAAATATTGCCAAAGCATATCTATCTACGTTTTGGCGTGTTTATCTCCGACATATATTTTGATCACCACTAGTATACTTTGTTGAGCCCCATACTGATGCAATTTTGCATATCGCTCAGCTCGTGGGGAGATACACTGTTTTAGGATCATCTGCATATAAAAAAGAGGCTTACCCATAGAGAAGCAATCACAAGCTAAAAAGAACATCGGACATAATACACTACCTTGAATAATACCACTTTTATCCGGGATAGCATCCGACAAGAAAGAGTTTATCTTGAGCAATTAGTACCAGTGACTGAGGGAAGAATTAGATAAAGCAAGCAGAGGGTTTTGGATCCGTTTGGGATGCGAGTTCGCCTATCAGAAGCTTGTGGTTAACCATGTTAAAAGCTTTAGAAATATCCAAAAATAAGTCTGAGACTATATATTTCTTGTTACAATTAGTAAAAACTAAATTTTAAAAATATGAGGTCTCTTTTACATTTAAGTTCGTTTACGTTTAACAACGTCCAACTAACTTATTTAACAGACAGTGTTATTCGGACAGCAACAATTTGTATATCCTGATATTATTATGAAAATGTTTGCTTGACCACAAGTTTTAGCCTTCGCACATACCCCTCTTTCTAGCTTAAATGTTAGTTGCTGAAATCACGTGATGAACCATTCTCCTTTTCACATACATACTTGTGCTTGATTCATATTAGTTCATCCGATTCTTCATTTGGTTTTATTCAACTCTTGATCTGTCTATGTATTTGCTCGCTTGTTTTAGTATTTCCGCTCTAATTCGCTTGCTGTACTTGTGACAGTGGTATGTGTTATTCAATAGTCAACTATAGTGAACACTTCGTGTAGCCTTCTCAGACTCACACACCTAGAGGAGTTATTTATTAACGGTAATCAGAGAGATTGATTTACGAAACCTAAGGAATAGTCTCAAAGGTGATTCAGTACAAAGTCAAATTGAGAGGTTATACAAGATTGACTTTTAAGGAAGCTATGTTGAGGATCAGTGATACATTTTTCAGTGAGTAAATAGTTGGAGAGATCACTATCAACAATTTTTTCCATAATCCTAGAGATAACTGGAGTTATATTCATAGAGCAACAATTGTTCATGTCAGTCTTACCTTCAAATTTGTAACGATAAGTAACTGTTTACAAACAGAAAGTAAACAACTTTGAAAGTAGTGGTAAAATATCAAACTCACTGTATTTAGAGAGAAAGGATGGAATCCCATCAACCTCATGACTGTTTGAGACCTAAAGGGGCTTTACAGCTTTAATAATTTTAAGATAAGTGAAAGAAATAGATTTTACTTAGTCATTAGTTACATACATGATTTTTGAAACAGTGCCATTTAGAAAATCATGATTGTTCTCAAACATATCACTAAAATGTTTTACAATGGTTTTAGAGTAATTTATAAAAGTTCCTTTATGCATGATGTACAGTAAATTCATATTTGAAGTTGCTCTAACGAGTTTATTGTTAAGGAGAATTAAGTTATGTACTTTTATGCTAATAACTCCTCAATAATGACTTTTAAACTATTTTTTTCTTAAGTCCGCTATAAAATCAAAGTTATTTGTCCGACTGCCGTAAAATCATTTCACTCGTAGTAACGTTTCTACAGATGTGCAGTTGTGCCAACTGCAAATAACATTACATCAGACAAAGCGGACGCCTGCATGAACATCAATTAGCAGTCAAACACCATGACATTTTCTCATTTATATCAATCCACGTGGACAACTATGGACAATCCTTTGACTGGAAAAAATGTGGAAATCTTGGATAGAGGAAATTCCAAAAACCAGAGAATTTTTAGAAGCTTGACATTCAGGTCAATCAGCAATAAAAAAACACATTGAAATCGATCCAATTTATCAACCAATCAGGAAAATTATGCACAAACATAGGAACAAAAATCAAACCAATAGGAGATGCGACCAAAACAAAGAAGTAAACAATGACAAGTTGAAGGTCAACGTAGATTAATTAACATCGAGGTGCACAGGACAAGCTATGAACCACATATGGAGAAATCCGAACGCTTCACTTCTATGTGAAGTTTGTGCTGATGATGTCATTCAGGAGAACGATCAAAGCTCCACGACCAAACCATCTAGCTCAGAGAACAAAACTCCATCAAAATCATCCACTTCAGCTATAAATCTTCTCCACCATCTCAAATTCTTTAATTTTTACTACAACTTGTGCGTTTTTAGGAGGTGCAAGGAATCCTTGACAAGAGTTGATGATCTCATAGAATGTGTGGTTCTCCATTTGATCATTATTTAAGAAGAAGGTATCTTAGTCTGAGAATCTTACCAGGGAGTATAGGAGGTCCGAATCAGCCTGTTTATTATCTCTATATTGACTGATTTCTTTTTACATCGGATGGTTATAAGAAGGATAGATAGAGAGAGGACCAACTAATTATCGGAGAATGAACGAGGTGTTATGACTCATTGACAAAAGTATTTCATTGTGATCGATCTCAATTACCTCTGAAAGTAATAAATAGCATACAAATTTTTAAAAAAAACAGGTTGATGATTAGCTTAATTTATCTTTATTTGTATTCGTTTATTTCAAACTATGTACATTGTATATAATTTATCGTACGTGTACAAACTAATAATTCCATAGTACTTGATTGCCCGCTTACTACAAATTACAAATATAACACATTTATTTGTGGTCATCTAGATTCATCCACCTCAAATTTCACTATTTCAGCAATTCTTAGTTAGTACATTAATTCGAATACTTCTAAATAACATATAACTGCACATCCTAGTGATTTAATATATAACATTGTATTACAGCTAATGACGAGTATTTGTCTACAACTAATTCCTAGTTCATAGTTAGTCCATCCAGTGAAAGCAGAAAATGAAGCATAATCAATGTGATGCTTGAAATATATGTGATTTGGTACATATTACTATCCCACGCTATCAAGATGAGATGATGAAAACGTGAAATGAAAAAGACATCTAATGAATTTAATAGAAATGATAACGGAAAACAATGAATATTTGGGAATATGATTTGAGAATACAAAATGGAAAGTTATATGTGAAGGAGTGATGTAATTCAAAATTGAGAGAAAGTTGAAGAGCTAACGCATCTGTTCGTACGTAAACGAATCTGAATTACATAACTCGAAATTCTCATTTCCTGATTGTGTCTATCACACAAACCCTTTTCAAATTACGTTTGATGATATTCTACTAAGGTCTTTAATTGTAATCTTAACAAGCTTAAGATGAACCTAATCAACTTAATACAAATAAACCATAAGAAGTAATAATAATAATAAACAAGATTATTGTTTTATTCATACTACCAACAGGATCAAGCGAATAAAAAAGAACCAGTTACAAATGAAATAAAGCACTTTCATCCAATTTAATGCTTCGTTTTAACATATTTTTCATTATAATTAAAGCTCTTCATGTTGTTTCAGCGCATTTCCATAATTTGTGGCTTGGCTACTGACAAAGGTATCTCGTTTAGCGATAATTTCTGCTTCCGTTAATAATCCATCCTGATAAGTGAAACAAAGTAAAGAAGAACAAGGTCATATTAATCATAGTTTTGTCAGATCCTTGTTATTTTCATTATTTTATTATTATGCTTTACATGTTTGGTTACTCAATAAAAATGAATTGAATTAAGTTGAATCAATACTAGCCAGTAGAGTGAGAGGGAAAGTATTTGGAGAGTAAAATGAATTCATCGTATTTCAAGGATCCTTATCAACCGCAAACGGTCAAAATTTACAACTAGGGGCATATTTTGACTAATATCTTCATAACTAATTTTGAACAAATGAAACTTAAGCAAGAAATTGAAGATTTAACACTCGACAGAAGGTCAGTCAGTCAGTAATAACGTGGAACCTCGTACGTACGTACGTCAGTTCCAGTTGCCATACCACATTATCACAAGGATCCAGTTATCGATTCAAACCAAGTAGTGGAAGAGGTAGTGAAAGTATAAGTAGTGATAGGGAACATAAGGGTTTGATGATGTTATTTAAGGAGCAAAATCCAGTGGAATAGATCTGGAAAGAGAATAAAGGACATGAAGAATTCAGAAGATTAGAGTTTGAGAACACAAAGAGTGGATGCACCTGAGCCATTGCAAACGATTTTTAGCCATGTCATTCAAGGTCTCTAACCATCGGTTGCTATCATCTCGCGGTCCCCAACCAGGTAGCCTACACCTACCAACATGACTCAGTCCACTTGTCAGTGACTTCATGGATTTGTGCCATCTTTTGGTCTGGCAGCCCCTAGCTTTCTTCCAACCTACTCCTACACCATAAAACATAGCACGTCGTGGCAGTCGGTGGTCGATCATGCGCAACACATGTCCCAGCCATCTCAACTGATTAAGTTTCACTACTTCCTCAATTGATTTGCCATCCTCACCTAGTACCCGTTTCATAACAACTGAGTTACTTACTCGGTGGTCCCAGGATATACGAGCAATGTTTCGAAGACATCTATGATCAAATACTAGTAACCTACGAATATCCTCTACTCCTACTGGCCATGTTTCACCGCCATAAAGTAAGACAGAACGAACTGCTGCGCAGTAAACAAATCCTTTGGTTGATAGACGGATATCTCGCCTACGCCACAATGACGCAAGTTGGCAAAAGCTAGTCGAACCTTCTGTATCCGTACTGAGGTTTCGTCACACACCAGACCACAAGGGCTGATGAGACTTCCAAGATAAGTGAAGCGGTCGACACGCTTAACTACTTTACTCCCTATTACTAGTTCGGGTGGTGGTGCAACCCAATTCAGAAGCAACATCTTGCATTTCGAGGGAAAGAATCGCATGCCGAACATGCTTGCATTGTTGCTTAGAGTGGTCAGCAGACTCTGCACTTTGTCAGCGTTTTCACCAAATAGAACTATGTCATCGGCATATTCTAAGTCAACAAGTGGATCTTTCGGTAGAAGTTCAACCCCTGGAAAGTCAGATATGGAAAGTTTTATTTCTAAAAGCACGACAACGACAGAAGGTGTGTTGATGATGCATTTATTGTTTGTAGTGATATGAATTATGCCTCACAGTTGCTTTACCAATCCAATGAAGCACAGGTTAACATGGAATTTACGATGGAATATAAACATAACAATCACTTTTACTATTCAAACCTAAAAGTAAACTGAATGAACGATCGAACAATCAAGAAGACCATATTTAGAAAAAAACATGGAAAGGGCAATACTTATAATAGTTTATGTCCTTTTAGTTATAAATGTTGTTTAATCAAAACAACATTTAATGGGGCCAGAAGGTTGTGCTCAGCCTACAAAATACTGGTAAAAATAGATTACATTGAAGAATACTTTACAAAAAATGGATATTCAAAAACGTCTGTAATAAAGTACGGGAAAAACAATCGAAAAAGTCTTAGATAAACAAATGTTAATAGAAAACCTGTCTTTATCCTGCTTGCATTCAAAAGTGAAGAGATTTCAAGAAGGATTGATTAAAGGATTAAATCAAAGCCAAAGAGATGCTTCCCTGTACCTCAACTATTTATTTTATTTTATTTATTTATGGCTTTATTCAATATTATATTTTGGTACAATATAGAATTCTCAGCACAAAAAATATTTCAACAAGTTTCTTTTACAAAAAAAGGTTACTAAAAATAAATTTTTTAAAAATCTGAAAAAGCTGTACAACTTTCTAATTAGAGTCATGTTAAGAATGCAGATTATTGACTAGGTTAACTCTAACAACCTGTTCGTCACAGAGTATATTTGCTAGGTAAGGTTTTATAGAACGTTTATACTTTTGCTTGCGTGATTGGATTTTAATGTAATTTCGTCTCGTTCTACCAGAAGATATACAATGAGAAAGATATGAGTGAAGGGGATGGTTAGTATCTGATAAAATAACACCTGCCAGGAGTTTGAATGACTTTGGATGTCTATTCACAACCATATTAATTATGGTCTCGAAAGATTCACTACATACCTTGCTAACTGCTTTCAGCGCTCTCCGCAGTACAGCAAAGTCTTTTCTCAAAAGCCCGGGAAAGAATAATGGAGAACAGTAAAGAATAATAGGTAATATGCAAGAATTGACAAATTGTAGGAGTAAATGACGAGTGATCCCAAAAGCATGCAATCTCTTAATGTAGTAAGTCAGACGGAAAACTTTCTTCGATAACAATAAAACGTGAGAAGACTAAGAGAGATCAGAGGAAAAGGTAACACCAAGATAATTGACCGTCGACACTGTGTTTATCAATGAGTCGCCAACGGCACAAGCATTATGAGATCTCAAAATGGTGTTTAAATGCCGATCATGTCTCATGCTAAAGTTAACAGCTTGACATTTAGACGGATTAAGTATGAGACCATTAACAACAGACCAACTATCAACGCGAGACAAAAACTCGTTCATTTCTATAGGATGTAAAGAGGAAGAGATAGGCATACAAGCAGTGAGATCATCTGCATATAACACCAGATATCTCTTAAATCAACCAAAACTGGATCAACACTCTATTGAGGTCACCACCAAATGTATTTATGAATTTACATGTACTTTTAGAAGTAAGTATATAGGAAATACTGAGACAAGGGTATCAACAAGGTTTTCAGAATGTAGTTCACGTAAGTTGTACCTGAAAGTAAGTGAAATTTTCACAAGTGCAGTTACTGAAAATTTAATGAATATTGGACACAACGTGTGTGTTTCAAAAGCTTTCAAAATAATTGACAGGGAACGCATACCATTTTTACTCCGACCATTGCTATCAAGAGCCTTTGACATAACCTTTGCATGAAGAATGAAAGTGTGGTACACCTACCATTGACACCGATTAAAAGTCAAACCGAGACATTTATTATCTTTGTCCGATGACATTACATTGAGATCACCAGTTAAAAAGTTAATTTAATTACTACAATCTCCACAATTCCCCACAATGATAATAATCATATGCTCACTATTGATTACATTAAGGATGGATCTTCTTGTTTTTGTCAGCTACTGAATATCGAATTATAAGATGAAATAGATAGTGTGATAAAGAATATATCAGAAGTTAGAAGTTACATTAATATTTTAAAAGCTAATTAGTTTTGCTATTATTATTGAGCACAGTATAACCAGCTCAATTAAAATGTTTTACTTTTTTATCATCCACTGCGTTTAAGTTAAATGACTATCCAAATTGACATAGAACAGAATAATAACTACAATTAATCATCCGACCGTTCTGATTTTTAAACTACAATTACGCATGTAGAATAAAGTGGCTTAAAAAGAACTTGATTTACTTACCTTATTAGTATCAGCATGATAAAACAAATGTTTTGTTTCTGCATCTATTGGATCATAATTTGATGGCATTATCCATTCACCAACTTCTGCTCTATCCATTCTACCATCTTGATTTGTATCTCTAAATCGACGAAATTGACTTCTTTCACGTTCAACCCATTCTGCTTCAGGTTCATTTTCATCAAATGGTGTACTTTGATATGCACGAGCTAAATCAACTTTTAAAAAATAAATGAAATGAATGCTAAAATAAAGATAGAAATCTAATTTCAACATTTGTTTTTAGATAGAGTTAGATTAGTAGTATTGACAGTTATACTGTAATTTAATATGATTCTCTTTATTTTTGAGATTAATACTGCATTGTATGAATAAAAAGTAGCAAGAACCGACTTTTTACATAACTGTTCTGAATCCAAAAGTTACTTAATATTTTTAAATGAAAAAGAGTACAAGACTGAAACCGAAAACTGAGTAGAAACATCAATAACTGATATTTATTCACATCAGATAAAATTATTAGCCGATTCATTTTCTTTAGCTATATCCTGAGAATATGATCTGTAGTACCTCAGGAATTCATCCTATCTGATAGTTATTAGTATACTGAGTGGATACTTTCTGATACCGCCACAACTTATAGTTGATAGTACGAAGTAAATTATTCGTTCGTGACTGTACTCGAAATCAGTGTTGAATGTGATTCCAAGTTTCTACGAGACACAATGAAATATTTTTCTCTTAATTCAAATAAAATATAGAGAAAACAATGAGAATATAATAAATAATGTTATACATTTGTAGAAGCTATGTGTGAACAATGCTGAAGACAAGTTTTCAGTTATCAGCTTTTTGTCGTTTTGTTTTCCCTAAAATCATAATGTGTTCAGAAAACTGAAATAATAACCAAATATATTAAATTTTCATTTTACCTAAATATTCTTTTTCAGATACATATCCATCATTGTCCTTATCCACATATTCCAGTAATTCCTATCAAAAGGTAAATAGAAAAACAAATATTAAATTTATATCCTTTAAGCAATCAAAATGAAAGTAGTGGCCTCGAATTTCAATGGTTAAGATCATGGGTCAGTTGAAGCTAGACCACCATGGAAATTCAATATTTAATATACCTCGATATACAGTTTACGAATAGCTTTGTATGAAGTGTTCTCATTTAAGGCCTGAATTTTCTAAGATTGTTAGAAAACGAACCGCCTAAATTCAGTAATATTCTTTAAATGTGTGTCTTCGTTGGTAAATCAATGTAAAGAAATATAGTTAAAGTCATAAACGTGTGTTCATAAAAACGCCTATAGCCTCCTAAAAATTCAAAGATATACTAAGTGGTTCCTTAATGAATGAGACTTTGAACTAGAAGTGATCATTAAAAGTAGGGAAAATCGTAAAAAAAGCATCCTTGCAAAAACCGACGTACAGATTTCAAGCACCGAATACATTTAAATTTCATTACTTACCAATGTTAGTCTTTTGCTTATAATGATATATCCTATCATTGTCTCGAAATATGTCTACAATTTTATATTCATTCACGCTGTTACACAAAATCGTTCTCATACCATAGTTTCATCATAAGGGAATTCCCATAGATTCCCCACCTCCAGCGTTTATATAATTTGAGAAATATACTCATTTCTGAAAGAATTTACAATTCTTCTAAAACTAAGGATAAACGATATAAGATCGAAACCTAGTTTATATGACACAATCCTTTCACTTTAAGTTCGTTCAGTTTTTAAAAACGAATACGTATAAGTGTTTGATTAAGTTAATGACTAACTGAATTCAACCTATCAGTGGCCGTTTGAAAGTAAGAATATTGAGTTCAGGTTTCAATTTCAACAGGGAGGTAAAACTGAAGAATCATAAATTTGGTGAGGCAAGGGTTCTGAACCCTACTGTTAGCTAAAAGCCACATTAACGAAGTTTTCGAAATCTGTTTTTCGTGCGATATTCTTTTAGCCTCTAAATAAACAACACTATCGACTAGTCATTTGGGAAAAGTTCATACAAACTAATAAACGTCTACGTGATAAGATATTCTAAAAGTTGACTTTGCAATACATAAGCACTTTTCTATACACTAACAGGTTGATGAAAATGAGCGGTGTGACGTTCCATCAAAAATGGGCTAAATTGATTATTCAGACATGTTGTATATCAATATATGAATTGGTTGAAAATACAGTCACTGTGATTAGTAAATAAAGAATGTCGCCGAAATATTTAATTGATTTTCACCAATAGATTAGTGGGATCTATAGTTTTTGTAATAAAGTCTTTTAACCCATGTAATGACTTCTTAGATGTGTGATCATTGCTAAAGTTTCATGATGATCTACTGTTCTTTAAATATTAACACAAAGAATCTATTTATTAGTCAAAAACTGTAACACTTACATCGATAACTGCATCTCTCATATTTGGCCGGTCTTCAGGATGTACAAAATCAGTAAACTCAGTTTTATTTAAACTATCATCTTTATCTAAATCAGCAGCAACCCATCGTCGTCGATCATGATGTACAGCTTTTTTATATGATTCAGATGTAGCTGCATCTTTTAATCGTTCTGTAGGGATAAACAATAAATATTTAATTATTTACATAATGTTGGTGTAAAGTATTCACTGTATTACATACTTTTAAAAACAATTCAAAAGATAAGCAAAGATGGATAGTAGCTAGCAGTGGAATCCATGACGCATGTCCAGTTCTATTCGAGACTCGTCAGATGGATGTAACTGCATCGCAGATTTGATGTCCACTTTGGGACTCGAACACAGTGCCGTTCGCTTTAAATGTCATCCCGTCATCCACTCAGCTACTGAGTCCTGGTAACCACTTGCTTGTGCAATGGGAAGATTCAAGTAAACAATACTAAGTGAATTTAATTCAAAATATAGTTTGAAAATTATATGAAATGTGAAAATTTTGATATTTCACTTTAGTTCTGGCAGCTTACTTCACAGTATTATTATACATTAACTGCATAAAAGAAAAGAGCATACGTTCCTACAGGCAGAATGTAAGCCTCATTTAAAATGATTATCTAAAACCATATTTTCCAGTTATAAAGTTATGAGCTCAGTCAATACTTACAATGATTCAGTTAAAACTCTACACAATCTCAACGTAAGTTAATGAAGTTATACAAATAAAATGTTGTGATTAATTAATAAGTAGTATAACATGAGACCACAAAGTCTAAAGAGTATGTAGGCGTATACATAATAGTCAAACCGAACCATGATATTCAAAGCATATTTAGTTATCAGTATGGGTTTATGGAGATTTGATTAAGATCATGAGTCGCTGGATGATAGACCACCATTGAAAATCTGGAAGCATTGGACCACTGTTTCGTTTCAGCAGTGTGAACCCACGACCCCGCTCTCGGGATGCTGTCTCTGTGATTCAAAGGTTAGGCGTTCACGCGAGAAACCGAATGTCGTGGGTTTGAGTCCCACGTGCGGAATCGTGGATGCGCACTGTTGAGGGGTTCCGTACTGGTACGAAAAGGGACGTTCAGTGCTTCTAGGTTTTCAATATTCACGATCTCAATATTTAGTTGTGTTTTATCCTCAATAGTCAAATGATATAATTGAATCATAAATTTAACTAACTGAAATGATGAATTGATTCATTACGACTGAACGGTGAGATATGTAGGACATTTTATACAGAGATTGTATCATATTTATTGATCAACTATTCCAACCAACCATTTTAGAACAGTTTAATTACATACTGATTTAATTAAACACGAGAAATGAATCATACACACTTTTATCTTTTATGCCAGTTTAGTCATATTGGAATTTGGAATTATTCCAAGGGATGAAAATTATTGAAATGTATTATTGTTTCATTTGTATCCATATACATGTAGACTAATTCATTTATTGATGATAATGCTATTTCATAGGCAAAAAACAAATAGTGTACATTTTATTGGTTTATCTTAATGTATTTTATTAGTGTTTAAAACAATTAGCCTGTCAGTCTATCGATTAAAATACAGCTTATGAATCTATTGTTACTTTACTGCCTACCTTAACAGACAATCTATTTATATGTAAAAATAACGATTGATTATCTATCCTTTCATAGAATAATCTCTAAAAATATATGATATATTTCAGAAAGACTGTTTCCTAGCTTTATTCACTTTCATCTATCCTATTAGATTTTTAAAGGAAGTCAAGTATTAAAATATAGTAGCTCAGGTGGATGATTTTGATGGAGTTTTGTTCTCTGAGCTGGATGGTTTGGTCGTGGAGCTTTCATTGTACTTCTGAACGACGTCATCATCATAAACTTCAGATAGAAGTCTGAAGTTTGTGCTGATAACCAAATCATCCAACGCAGAGAACAAAACTCAATCAAAATTAAAAATATAGTCTTTTTCTTCTCTGATTTAGTTTTTGTAAAGTCATTCATTGAATTTAATCTATTCTCATCATGGTGAGATCGAATAGTTATGAGAGACTAAAGCAAGATTTTGGAAAACTCTAAATCATATAGTAAATTTTGTGATCTTTTCCTGATTTCGATCGATAAGGTCTATGATTTTCCTCTTATTACAGTGAAAATAATAATTAATATCCCTATAAGATGTCTTCCAATGATCCCGCACATTAATAAACTAAGACATGTTCGCTAAGTTGTACAAAATGCTGCTCAATACTGATTCAAGTGATACAACATTCAATTAAGGTCTTAAAATTAATTTCCAAATACATGAATTGGGCCCTGGATACGCACTGCTAAGGAGACTCGTACTAGGACGAAACGACCGTTCAGCGCTTCAAGGTTTTTCATGGTGTAGCACAATATCAATTGAGTGATATTTCAATAGTTGAAATCTTGAGTCAATTCAAGCTAGACCACCATGGAAAGCCTGGAATCACTAGACGGCCGTCTCATCCTATTATGCGACTCGTTAGCAGTACATATCCACGATCCCTCCCTCCGCGAAATTCGAACACAGGACCTATCAGTCTTGTGAACGAGCGCTTAACCGTTAGACCACTAAGTCGGCATCCAACAGTGTTAATGTTTAACTTCAACCAATCCACGAGTGAAATTTAACAATTCCTAATAGTAGTTCAGTAGTAATTATGATGGACAACATTTGCTTAAAGTGATAAGCCAGACTATTTTTAAACACAGACATAACAAGATTTCCTTTTTAGAACTAACAACAGTTTATATCAAAGAAATTCAGAACCTAATTTTTGTATACATACCCATTTATATATATAAATTTAAATAGTGCTATTAGACACTGACTTTTGACGAGGCTGTGGTTGCCCACCTTTGAAAAATCTTATGCTACGATGAAACAATTATCTAGGTTTCTTTAATCTTCAAATGTAACCAAACCCAGATCCTTCTGTGACAAATCCAACCTATATATACATATTATAACTTCATAAACTGTTTATTTTGTCAATTCATATTCAATATTACACTCAAATGTAAACTTATTTACAAAATTTTCAACTTTACCTTCTTCTGGTCCATATGTTCTTATTAGATATTCTGTCCATTTAATTGATAATTGATTAGTTGGATTTATATCATTCCATTGACGATCTGTACTATTTTGTTTCGATTTAGTAGCTACATATTCAATCCAAGATTTTAATTCAAATTCCGTAATTTTTTCATCATTATCTTTATCAATTTTTTTAATAATAATCCTAATAAAACAAGAAATTACAAAGTTGTTGTTTTTTTTAAATTTTTGTTTTATTAATTAACTTACTTTAATTTTTCTTCACTTTCATTTGGTGTAAGTTGTAAAAATTCTTTAGCAGTCTCTTCACCTAAAAATGCATTATGATCAAATTCAATATCATGACGATCTGGATCATCAATAAAATGTTCTGTATCACGTCGACTCTATTATATTTTTTTATTATTGTGTATAATAATAATAATAATATTTAGCAACATACCACTGTTTCTAAATGTGGTTTTGTATAAGTATAATGTATAAGAATTAATAGAATTATATATCTATTAAAGGATAATACCATCATCATCATCATCATAAAAGGTAAAAAAAGAGGGTATACAAGCAATTCAATATGTATATAAATGATTATTTATCTTATATTAAATTAATGAAAATCTATTACAATTTGATTGGTTAATATTTTTAACCTTAGCACATAGATTTAGTGAAAAATGGAAATACACAATTATTTTAATTGGTTAAAGTTAAATTTTTTTAAAAATTCTATCGACCTTAAAAGATGATTGGAAGTTAAATTAGAATTAGATAAATCTTATGATTTTAAAATATATGTTCGATTTATTCACTTTCTCAGGGTTGTGTGCATATTTCTTTATGAATGGGAAAATAGACATTGAAAACATTAAAATAACATTGTGATATAAAGAATATTTAGTTTGTAAGTGGTCGATTAAAGTTGAAATTACATGTAGGTCAACTTGATAGGTTCTCATAGACGAATCAATCATGTATAAGATAACAGTTCTTGGATTTTGGCGCGAAATTCACTCATCCATTTGATTAAATAGAGTTTTGGCATTATATCTGATGTCGATTTGTGATGAAAACTCTAAATCTGATTCCTAGCCTTAACTATCAAGTGTAAATCATAATTTTAACTCCTCCCACTGGTTTATAACCCTCATTTGGTCCTAGTTATTAGGTGGACATTCTCAAGGTCAATTAAGCGTCTCTCAAAGGTCGTCCATAAATTATAATCTCACCTTGAGGATGAATACATCTTACTAAATAATGAAATTTTAGAAACTTTTAAAAAATAAAGTATTCAATATTTCTTGTTCAAATTATTGGTAACTATTTGACTAAAAAACAATTTGTATACTCTTCATTTTTCCATAGTTTATCACTCATAAATTTTCTGTCATAAGTACTCGTTGTTTTTCTGATAGATCGTTACCAGTTAATTACCTGCAGGTTACATAACATTGATAGACAATTGTTTTGAACCAATTCCTAACTCACTGGATTATATCACATAAGGCTCTCTACCTATGAATAGTTATGATATCACAGTATGACAGTATTCAGCTGCATGTCACAAGTAACCCTAATAAATCTCTAGTATTATATATACTGCTGTCATCGTATATGCTTATGTATGTTCATCAGCCATGTTTGATTATTGTGTCTTAATTTAATGTATCATTGTATCATTTTGATCAATATTCATAGTTTCGTAATAAGATTAAAATTGAGATGATTAATTGTATAGAAACATATCAGTTTTATGAGTAACAGTTATGACTCAACAAAAACTGTTAAAAGGACTTATTTCATAGTAGTGATTAAGATCACCTTTTAATGTATACTTGGAATATGTAGCATAATGAACAGAATTTTAAACATTTACCTATGAATTATTGTTAATTATTGACATCAACCTCGATAGGCTGCGCATACTTTGAAAATTTGCTGTTGAGCTTTAGTCAAACCAATATGAGCAATTCGCTAACATATTTTCTAACCGAAAAGACAGCTTTTACTATTTTGCCATGTTACAGATACGCTTGAGTAACGTCCTTAGTGAAGTTGTAGAGAGTACAGTACAACGATGAAACTGACAACTGATTTGTCCCAATAAAAGTTATTCATAGGAAAATAATGTCTATTATAAATATTATTATTTGGTTATATACTGGAAATAAACTGAATAATATCTTAAAAAAACTCCTAATGGAAAACTATGAACCTATCATAGAACCAAGTCTACATCGTGAAAATTGGTTTAATAATTTTGTATATGCATATAATTATTACTTGACGAGGATTTAAACGAAAACAATATTGTCCGCTTATATATATGTTGTTCTAAACTTTAAACCAATCATTGAGCCAAGTTTACATCGTGAATATTTAAGGAAAAAATGTAGAAAGATAAATCAATAAGGCAAATAGAAAAGTATATATTCAAATTCATCCAGCGGAATAGAAGATAACTTCAATAAAAATGAGAAGATATAATCGATATCACTGACTACAAGGGAAAAGGTTAATCACTAAACGAAACCATTGATGATAATACGTATTAAAATTTCGAACGACATCATAGAAATTATATGATAATTGAACAAAAAATGTCACAAATAAAAACGATTGATTAAACCAAAAAAAAATACAGAATAAAAATGTAAAGAAAATTCTACATATAAAAAATATTTTTGGGGAAATTTTTTAAATTTAATAGTTGAATTCATGTATCGATTGAAGCAAGACAACCATTGAAAACCTGGAAGAAATGAATGGTCTCGCGCACAAATGATTAAAATCTAGAATACAGAACCGGCATCTAATGGTGTTAATGTCAAACTTCAACTAATCCACGAAATGGCGCCAATATCTATGAATTTAACTATTCAATTACTAAAATCTCTACAAAACAGCCTTTCTGATAATAATCATCATGTGCCCACTAGTGACTGTCTTCAAGATTTATTTCATAGAGTTCTAGTGAGTATCCATGACCACAAGATTTCAAACGTATCTTTTGAGAAACAGTTAATTACTGAAGACAATAGTGGATGGCAGTGCTCTATTCGACTATTGAACTCAAATATTAATTACCACAATCTAGACAAAACCACCTTCCTGATAACTTTCGATATCTCAATTGAGAATTATGCATTCGCCAGCAAAGGATGAGGAAAGGCATTTCAATAATTACATTCCATAGTGTTTGGTCGCCTAGAGCATAACTTGTGTGTCACGTTTAAAAGTATAACATTTTGCTGAAATCACATTTATTCGCCTCTCTCTCAATGGATTCATTATATATATCTATAAAATCAGAGAAAAATATTATCCAGAAAACAAGAATCATTACATTCAATTATCAAAGTAAATCCAACTGCTAAACTTGTTTTATATCAACCTAATTACAGAAAAATATGACCAAACTACAAACTAGACATTTCGTAAGAGTATAATGATGCGATCATCAAATTTTCAACAAACAAACACGTTTAGTTATATTCATAAGAATGGGGATTTGTACATCAGGTTGAAGTGCATTGAATGATAACAAGTATTTCAAACGAAAGTAAGCTAATGAGAACACACCTCTAAATATGAATTATTTTAATATGGTACAGTTCGATCTCAGAATAAATAAATCAATAAATAAATCTTATGATGATTATTCTCATCCTAAAAATGTTTTTCACTTTTCCTCTTCGAAAATTATTTCCCATACTTATTTCTCTCTCATCGATATGCTACTGATTAAAAATCAGTAGTCTACGTTGTATTTATCAACTTATGTCAGTTGGAAATCTTAATTGGTCACTTCTTCACCATACTTGTTAAGAGGTTCTTCACTACTTTTCATATTTATGGAAAGATTTCCGAATATTTGCTAGACAAAATCTCCCTCATGTTCTTCAATTTCAATTTCGTCTGATTTGAACCCCTTGCCTATGTTCATTTAATAGTAGGTTATTTTCCATTAAGTAATTACTCAACACTTGTCTCATCCTTTCATCACTTCTTTTATTCTAGTCAGTCTTGGATTTCTAACTATAAATCCATGTTTATAATCAAAGTTTTCTTCATGGAAGTAGATCTAGCTGTGTCCGATTAACCTGAATAGTTCACACTCCCATGTCTTTATATTCAGAGTACAATATTTGTTTAACAATAAATCTCCTCACATTCACATAAACCTATAATGGAATGATGAAATTTTCTAATGTTCCACTAACTTACTCACCGGTTTAAAATCTCTCAAGCTTTATATCATTTATGATTGCTTATACATTAATTAACAACTACACTTTCCTACTTTTCAGACTTTCTCGAATTGCCATGGGATGAAAAACTACTTAAGTATGCAAAATATCCTCTGGATAAGTTTATATTAAAATAATAATTGATTAGATTGTTTATTGCATATGGGAATTTATACTAAATCAAATAAGATAGAAACTTTCTTAGTAGGAAATAAAATTGCCACATGGATATCTCAAACATCGAAGAATAGCGAGAGGATATTTTTCAACATCACGTTCAGCTATATTAAACAAGAAATTTCGAGTTTGAATGATTCGTGAAGTGCTTAAAAGATGAGTCAGCAAAGGTACTAATCAATCAATCAATCAATCAATCAAATAGACCGAAATAGGTAGTTTTGAAATATTCAGATGACATGTCAACCAGTTACAAAGTTTACTGAATGTTGATGAGAATTCCAACAGCATCAACAGTTACTGATAAATGTGAAGGGAATGGTTACAGCTACATAGGAGAAGAAAACAATATAAATCTCGAAAAATTTGGAAATCGATGGAGAAGAGAAAAAATTGATCATTCGTCTCACACATTACTCATAGGTATGTTGATGACTAACATAGGGTGATCAAAGATAAAAACACCTCACGCTTTCACAAATCTAGTTTCTTACCATTGCTTCCGTTACATTAGCATTTATGTGGAAGAGATGCTCGTCAACTATAAGGTTATTTAGGCGAAATATAGTAAACAATTATATGTAAATTTATATATTCATCCAGTTTTCAAGGCTAACACTCGTTTTCCTATTTCATTTGGAAAATTATTTCACGATATGCATTTTCACTAAATACAATTAAGTGGTTTACAATTCAGTAGTTATTAACTACGACTTCATCACTAGTTCGATTATGGATATACGATATCAACTGTACAGACTGGCTCCATCGTACGAATATGAATGTGATTTTAACACACAATCATACTATCAAACTACTTTATGGAAAGTCAAGTCACGTTATTCAAACTCTCCTCATTCCATCATGGACAGCTAAATTAATTAGATAGTTGTTAACAATATGTCTTTCAATTTGAAAACAACACCAAGTCACATTCAAATGAATCATTCCAAAATAATTCGGCAACAAGAGAATGGGTGCCACTGCTTATGTAACAGGAATATTCAAGGCAAAACTGTCTAGAAATGATTTACTTTAAACATATTTAACTTGTTCTTGCACCCCGATTTAATTTGTTTCATATTATTTCACATATCAATTCCGCAGATATGGAACTGAATTCAGTCGAACAGATCAGTTAATTCACAAC